TAGAACCACTTAAGCATGCTAAACATATCTTAAGCTGCAAAGAGACATTTTGATTTTTGACCCTCAGGACTAGAGGTGGGATCCTCTTATCTACAGTGATTTTAAATATTAGAGAAGAGGATGAAAATGTCCAGTGATGCAGATTTCCAGTACGGGGTTACCCTGGGACAGGTCTAATAACACCCAGAGGCAATAAACACACAATGTCATCTTCTTAAGGGAAATCATGCCAGACATCCTCAATTTTTCCACCACCATGAATTAAACATACATGTTTATGCAATGTTTTAGTTTGTAGAAAAAGATTTTAGCATCATTGTGACAAGTGTGGAGTAAGTGCAAAAGAACATATAGATTGAGCATCAACAAAAAACCTTGTAACTCTACTTATACAGTACATGTATATTTTGGAAAAAATAATTTTGGATGTTAATCGCACGATTTTGACACTATTTTGAATAAGCAGCAATAACTAACAGGGATACACTCGAGTGATGCATAACCATTATAGGGGAATGCTACGTTCACTCCTTCAAATACAGACTCAAAACCTTCTTCTTCAGAAAAGCCTTTACTTAACTGGTTCCATTCTTCACCCCTCTGCTCTTCTTAATATCACCTTCCACGGTCTCCTCTATTGTTATTGTTGTATTGTTGTAATTATAATTGTGTCCTGTCTTGTGAAATTTTCTTATTTATTGTTGTAATCTTCTTATTTATTGTTATTGTCATCCTGTAAAGCGCTTTGAGAAGCCACCTTTAAAGGCGCTATATAAAATAAAGTTTATTATTATTATTCATATTTCAGCATTGGTTAGTGCATTTCAAACCACAATAAAAGTAAACTGTACACAGTAACTTCTAAAGCCTCCAATTGACATCACAAAATAGTGCAATTTCCAGGAATGCACAGTACCATATTCTTCCGGTGAGACAAAGTGGCCCTATTACACTGCAAACAAGCAGGCTTGTGAATACATCTTTTAATCCAATAGAAATATTGCTTTCGATTCCGAGATGGGTTTGCCGATAAATACAACTTGCTTCTTAACTCTGCATGCAGATGACGTTGGAAACATATCTGCAGTGAAATGTCTGCTGCACAACCTTATTTGCTCATACATCACATTAAATTAGTCATTACAGTGACTAGTGAGCAGGAAGGGCCGCATCATGTTGCAATTCAAGGGAACTCTGGCTGTCGCCCATGGTGAGACCAGGGGTTTGCAATGACATGGAGACTTACAGTATTTTCACAAAATTCACACTTTAATGCTTAATTTAATTTTATATTTTTTTTTCTATAACATCAATGAATTTATTTTGTTACCAAGGTTTAATAACCTGTCTGAAAAATTGGGACTGTAGTTACCAGTTGTGAGAGAATTGACAAACAGCTGATGAGGAGATTTAATCTGTTGAATGTCCAGCTTGGTAAAAAAATCAATAAGTACCCAGAAAGCAACAAATAAGCACCAGTTGTCCTGAGAACAAGGTCTTTGACTCCCTCGCGATCAACCCTGTTAATGACCAGGGTTGCTGTGAACCAGCAGAATGAATTTACCTTCGTAATGTCTGTTGAATAAAAATGCACTCAATGTACTTGATACCAAAGAGTGATAATTTTGTTAGAAATACATTTGTGAATTATTTATCATTTCAGGAATGTCACTCATTGCAAGGGCGTCTGTACACATTCTGGCCCTATGAAAACATAGCATTCATATGTCCTACAACTTATCTAAAAGAAACAGGAACTTGGGATGATCAGTGCTAGAATGTCACAACCGTCTGGTGCAAGTTATGCCAGTATCTACCCAGCAGCTAATCCTTGTGTGTAAACCTGTTAGGATAACTAACAGTTAGCTGTCCACAGTTAGGTCAGATTAGTAATAGTCCTCATCCTGGTCGCTCTTGTTGCTACAGCAAGACAGCAGGATGAAATTGACAAAGCTAAAGCCGTAATTACAGCAATACAGATTACCAGCAAAAGAAACTGGCCAATTAGGGATAGAACTCTCTAAAGACCTCTGGCAGACTACAGTTGGCCTTATCATGGCCGAATCCTTACTCATCCACATTGCATGGCAGGACTTGTCACAAAATGGAGGTATCCTTTCTCACAGAAGATGAGATTATATCATTTACTGCAATTTGTACAGATATAAAAAGGGGCAAGAACGAGAGAAAAGAATATTGCAAATGTGACTAAAACAGACAAGGGTTTTCAGTACTAAATCAGTAAAAAATGAAGCAGTGTTACAGTGAGAAGTTAAAGATATGTCATTTGAAATTTAACTAATTGTCCTAAAAAAATTGTAGGCTATTATGTATAGAATGATAACATAACTCTTCCTGCCCTTACTCAAGGATAGGTCTAATGTCTTTTTACTGAAAAACTTCTAATACTGTATAACAACAGTACACAAACTGACAAGGCCAACTTATATAATTACAAACCAATAACGTTTGTGTCTGTTACATGGAATTTTCTGGTGGCGATAATTACAACGAAACTAGAGGATCATCTGTATAATAACAACACTCCAGGTGATTGTGTACACAAAATTATAAAAATAACTCTTGCTTAATTTGTTAGCTCCTTGAAGACTTAACAATACTGAAGTACATCCTTTCAGATAACTTTAACTTGTCTACTACACTCAAAACGTCAAGTCTTTTATAACGTGTAGAACCCTTACTTGGCATACATTGGTCCCTCCTACATTTATCATGCCTATGTCTGTCCCCTGAGGTCATATTATTCTGTATCTGTAAAAAAAACAAACATGTACTTGTGCTGAGCCACCTTTTTGTCTCTCTCTCTCTTTTGTGTGTCTCTTTTTTTGTTATAGGTATATTTTGTATACCTGTTGTTATGCAAGAAGATCAGTAAATGAACAGTTTAAAAAATAATATGCAAACTCTTCCTTCTGTGACTGACTTTATCCTTTGCCAGATTCACCTCTCTCCGGCCACTTGTTGAATATTCAGCTGCCATGGAGCCCCTTGATCACTCCGTTCTCCTCTCCCCTCCTTCTCACTTGGGAATTCTGGATACTACCCCCGTCTCCTTCTCTTCATGTCTCTACCAACTGCTCCTTCCGGTTTCCGGATGCAGCCTGCTCTCTTAACCTCTCTCTCCTATTATCTCAAGATCAACCTTCCAGGAGCTGACATGCACACCATTCCTCCTCCTTCCTTCCTCCTCCTCCTCCTATGACCTCTCCACTTTCACTTTCCTTAGTTTTCCTCTCCCCTTTTCTTTCTAATCCAGAACCTTGACGCCGTGCTCGATCCCCCCCCACTTCTCCTGCCGGCACCCTGTCTGCAGAGCTTCACCACTCCTCAGGTTCTAGCTCCACCTGAATCTATCCATTTGAGACACATCTGGCCAGACTCACCTACAGCAAAGCATACCTGGCAGAACCTACCTCCATTTACAATAAGCCCTCTCCGGTCTCTGCAGCTGCTCTCCAGTATCTTTGGCTGCGACTGCCTTGGTCTTAGATACAGCTCTTCTGCTTACACTTTCCAAACGCTTCTTATTCTTGCTTGGATCCAGTTCAAGGGCCCTGCTTTCTTCACTGCTCTTTACCTCCCGTACACCCCAAAACCTCAGGTCCTGACATCCCTATATCCCTTCTTGTCCTCTCTGCTGCCCCACGACAGTCCGATTTCCTAACCTGGTGACTCGGGTTGGCAGAACTAAAAATCCAACTTGACACCCATCGCTGCCTCCTGATGCGGATCACAGAGTCTACATTCTGTCCCTGCCACGTATCGTTCTTGGACAACTGTACTGATGCTCTTCCACCCGTCCTCTAACTCCTTCATCCAATTCAGGCACGTGGGAGAGCCAGAAACTATGCCAGCTGTTCCATTTTACAAGAATTAAATCGCACCAAACCTGCACTACGTTTTGTACGAAACTTTAATCCTATTATTTGCCAATATGGTTTCAGTCATAGTTCTGACACACTTACATTGTTTTTTCTTATTGCCACTGTAAGACGTCAGCAACAACGGAATAATAAAAAATTCCAGTGCCGTTCCATTGTGTAACCCAAGCAAGTCTTGTTATGGGTCGACCTGAACAAGTGTTCATCTGCTACCTACTGTTCTTCTCCTATAATTAATGAGGATTCAGATGCCAATTGGCATCACTAAATTGTGCGTGTGTGTATGCACTGTGATAGACTGCTCTCCTGTCCAGGGTGTCGAGCCCATTTGTACCCAGTGTTTTCAGGACAGGCTACAGGTTTCCACAACTCTCATCAGGTATAAGTCATGTTCTGATATGGATTGAAATGGAATTCTTATTCACAGAAAGACTGACAATGACAGTACAAACTGCCCAAGGGGTAGAATAGAAGGAAACGTCTTTACAATGGTTTTGGGAATGTTAACTGAAAGATATTGCATTAAACAGCAGTGAAGCAGTTAAGAGAAGAAATAAAGACTCTTTGCTGCTGTATGTATATTCTATAATGTCATTGACTGTAAATGCATAGTGCCAAATGCTACTTGGAACACACAAACCAATATTTTTAATGACGCATTGTTATCCTCTATTTCTATCCTTTATACTCATTAAAAATATTAAACAGTCTGTTGTTAATTAGAAAATGGGGTTGCTTATTTTCAGTTATTAAAAGGAAGAGCAATAATAAGAACTCCCGTCTCTTCATTAGCTTTTGATTCTTATACACTGTATTCGCTCAGTTTGTGTCTCAAACAACACAGCCAACAGGAATATCTGAACTCAAACATGAAAACAGAGTCCAAAGGCCTTATAAAATTATCCTGAAAGCAGGTACAACGTGAAATATTTATGAGTATTTCACAATGAGTTATGCTTCATTACACACCTTTAAAAGAGACTGCCTCATGGAGTATTTGACATTTTTGATATAACAGGTACAATGGGAAAACGTTAGAAATTCAGACCTTTAATAGCCTGTCAACAGATAAGATAGAAAAAGGAAATGAACATATACCTTCTTCTTTGGCGTCTTTCTTTCTTCGAGCCAGTCATCCATCTGGTCTTCAATTTCCTCAATACTGACATCCTGATCATAAGATGGCACACAGGTGTTTTCCCTGGAATCTGGGATGTACACCGGAAACTCAGATTTGGGCTTCTTCACCTTCGGTTTCTTTTCTTCTGCAAATTGGAAAAAAAAAAGCCAAATAAAAGGGTCACTTTTTAAATCACCTTTTTTAGGGAGCACTTACAGATTTTTAATATCTGAAAGCTCACAGAAACAGTTTCTGAAATATTCCACATTTCAATAAAAAAAGGACAAAGGCATACCGAAGGAAATAACTTCAGTTTTAAATGGTTCGTTCATGTAAGCAGTTTAAGAAAAGCAACCTACAAGACTGGATGCACAACTGTGTACTTTCTGGGAGATTTCCATGCTGTCCGAGAGCACAACGCACTGCCAGGACAGCCAGTATGTACCTGTAGCCTGATTCTCCCACAACTTTCATATCCCTGAAGGGAAATTGCAAGGGACTCTCAAATTAATTGTATACAGGACATCACAACTACTTTTAGTTTAGGGAACAAATGCAAAACCTGTGCTCAGTAACCTTAAAGTCGGAGGACAAAAAATGAAATGCATACCACAGTGAGCAACGGTTTAATACTATTAACCACATGGCAGCAGCACATTACCAGCTGAGGTTGTGGGTTTTTATGCACTTTATATACACACTGTAGGCACTCTGATAAAATTGTCTTTATTCGATCGTGCACCGCAAACAAAGAAATTGAAACAGCTGCTGGCAGGCCTCCCCCAAAAAACTGCAGGCCAGAGCACTGCGGCTAGCACTGTCTGTACAGATGCCCCCAGCCGGGTAATATTTACCTTTCGACAGATAATCCGTTCGCACTTCTTCTCCCGTGTTTTAATGAGGCTCCACGTTGAATTCGCTCCAATTTGCAAATTACATGGAGTTCCCCCTACCAGCATCCCCTTGACTTCCCCTGGGAATTCTGAACACTCCCAGTGGCAGTGCAGATCGACGTGGGGGCAGATTAGCAATTAGGTCATGAAAGACAGCTGCTTAAAACAGCTCTCTGCTGATCTGCATGAGACGCGTTTACCCAGTTAAATACCCAGCGACATGATTATTAATTTCGAATTCATGCGATGGCCCGTTTAAATTAGAGCTAATAGGAAGCAAAATCAAAATATGCCGTGACATCTTTCTGCATCATTAATCCTAAACCTGCTGCAGTGGCTTGGCGAGGTTACGTGGTTTCCATCAAAAGGCATCTATTTTGTTAAACCCAGGCCCAGCGAGAGGTTTATAAGACAGTGCATCCCCAAGCTTGTCTGCCTTGATTCTGTCCAGAATATCACAACAGAAAAATACATCTTTATTTCTCCCCCCCGCCCCAGTAGGTCCTACAGAGCAAAGTGGCAGAATCCTAAATATTCCAAATGATTCGACAATGTTTTTGGTATGTAGACAATCCTTTGGCAACAAAAGAAATACCAAATCATAAATTCTTTTATATGTTGTAACATAATGGTCTTGTTAAACAGAAATTATTTTATACATTTATTCTGATATAACTGGCTTGGATGGTGACCTTTTTGTCTGATGGGCGTAGCAATGTCACATAAAACAAGGAATAGTACCCTAAATCCATGAAAGCCGGGAATGTAATATAAATATGACTTGATCATATTAATAATATTGATAAGACAAAACAACAATAAATGAAAACCTATGAACTTTAAAATCACTGCTACTCTGCACCATAGATTTTGAATTTTGTTGTCTCGCATAACTGCTCCAAAACACTAGGACACCCCATTCAAATTAAAATTGTTAGAGTCAGTGCTCCGATATGAATTTGTTCCTGGTAGAAAACGCCACACTGTGTGCTTGTTTTCATTGTCAGCCATTGTGAAAGTATTGAAATTCATTGTTTAGCCCTTGCAGGTATTTAATGAAACCAAGTGAAATACGCCAAGAGATTTGTAGCGCTCGCAAAGAAAAGCCCAGTGAATTTCTTCTAGCCTTGACAGACCTCATCTGTATGCTAAAATGCTAATTTGTAAATTGAGTCACTCATAAAATAAAGCTAAATATCAAGTAAACAATCACCTCAATGACTTGCTTAATATGAAATAAGCCCTCCCCCAAGTGTGATGATTGATATGATAGATGATATATCACAAAAAATAGATGACATACATTTAGAAAACATATTCTATAGGCAATGTATCAACACCATTCAACTTTAAATGCAAATTTAATTCTGAAAAAGGACTGGGGATCAGATCAATATGGAATGCAGAACAAAATTACTTCTGAGTCCCAGTAATGCTGTAAATAATCACATAGGCTTTTGCATACATGGGTGTGTTGCCCAAAGACACTTTCAGGCTATCAAAATATAAGCATTTCAATAACTGATCCACTTAGGTGAAACGGTCAATGGAATACCATGTACACAATAACCAAAGGTTTCATATCCTTCTCACTTATTTAAAAGTTTCGAATGATCATTTTTTCTCAAGTCATGATGTTGGAACTTTGGAGGCTGAATCTCCCTGATATCATAAGATTTTTAGGTGAAGCAAATTCGCCAAGATCTTCTGAGGAATAAGAAATTCTGCATAATCGGGTCAGGGAAAATGCTTGGACACAGAAACACTTTTCGAAATGTGCAGACCACAACAGAAGTGACACTAGGCATTCTTTACTTTAAGATGTTGTGACGTTTTATAACACGCGGGAGAATGTTTTACAAAAGCTACCAAAACACGTGGAAACTTTACGATTGGCCAACATTTCACCTTTAAGTTGATACCATGGGTCATGTTTCTTTTTAAGAAATAAGTACATGACGTACTTTGTTGGGCTTCTTTATCTGCTAGGGCCAGAGCTTCCTCCTTCTCCCTGATCTTCATTTCTTTGTAGTCCTCATAATACTGTTTGACATCCTGCAGAAATGTAAATGTAGACATTTCATTAGCACGTTTTCTTGAGGTAATACAGCAAACGTGGGTTATTCATTTTTTCCCCAATTAAAAAACCTATTAAATGGGACACTGTTTAGAAAATAGACAATTACACTTGTTCTATTTTTAATATTAAATATGTCTTTACTTTACTGGCCATACTTAATACCATATCAATTCTTTACCACAACCAAAGGCTGAACACTTGTTGAAGGAAAAAAAGCATTTGGAAAGTGATATTCTAATTTTCATACACTTAACAGAGACGATGGCAATTAAAATGAATTTTTATCTAAGAATACATTAACATTTCTAAACGTTAAGTACTTTGTATACTGAGTAGTACCTGGAAAGCACAGGTCTTTAAGCTCTATACAGTACAATATATTAAGTTTTGAGGGTTAAAATCACCAGTGCTATTCTGCATTGTAAAACAAATCTGTTCCTGGAATCCAGACTATTTATTTTAATAAAATAAATCCAGAAGGACTTTTGATGCAGATTATAGTTACTCTAACTGTATTAACCAAATGATTCAAAAAGCAGAATCCCTGAAGCTGATAGGGTTGAAGTGATGACAACATTTTTGTTCAGTGCACTGAAACAAGTACAGTTCAGCAGCTTCAAAATCACGTAATATATTTTTTTTTAAATCACTACAAATGGCATCAGTGACTACCAAACAGGAAAGGACAGTATATACGTGACAAGGGGACTTACTTTTAGAACAGAGTTAAAAATTGTTAAAAAGCAAACTATTATTAATTTTAATTTTACTGGCTCCTAATAGTGCAGGCCTACTTTAAAATAAATGGTTGCACATGGTTAATTCATACTAATTAAGGAAAACAATTTGAACATGTATATATGGCAAATATCACATCCTGGTTTCATGTGCATTCAATATGACTTCAACAGGAAATCACGTGTTACTTCATGCATAAATACATTGGGATTAATAACACTCATTAAGAAGTGTGATCCGTATTGCCTAGCAGAAAATTACTTATTTTGTTAGTGTTCCGAATATAAAGAGTACTTTGGAAATATGAAATAGAAACTCTTTACTACTGGCTGTTTTAACTTCAGATTTCCAGATTATCTACATTAACAAACGTATACCCCACAACTGCTTAACTGATTAAACTATAAAACTCCTAAAATATAAAAAAGTCTTGTTTCCAAGTATTAATCAAGCACAGATTTAAATAGTCCATTGAAATCTGCATAGGCATAGCCTTAAGGGATTAGATTAAAAGAAGTTACTTTTAAAAGTTATATCACAAATATAAAGAAGTCGTCACCAGTGTGTTGTGGAACCTAGATGCATCTGATAGAATTATTAATGTTTATTTTACTTAAAGATTTTAAAAAATGAGCCAAACGGAACTCTTACAGTCAAATTAATCAGAGGGCACGGTTGTGGGAAATTCGTAGTTGGAATTGATTCCTTCTTCAAGACAGCTTTGTTTTATTTTATGTAGTAAAGCTGCATTTTCTTGGTCACATCACATTTATGAATACAAAATGAACATTTTCTCTAATTCTCTAGCAACACATTGTTACAGAAAAATGATCGGGGTCCTCTTATACTGTGCACATTTTTTCATAAAATAAAACTAAATTAAGACAATAAGAAAACAAACATAAAACGTGAAAGAAATTAATGATGCACGTTTGCATTAAAAGGTAGATGTTGGGTGCTTAAAATCAGTCTGGTCAGCACTGTTTCAGAGTCACTGTCAATATTTTTACTGGGCATCAGATATCAGATATCAGATATTCAGATATAACCACTTTGGTTAGAATAATTGCCTAAAGGTAGAAGCCCTATGTACAGTATATGCAGATTAGTTAGCTTTAGTAACAAGCTAAAACCTGAGAAAATACAACACACAAAATCAAGGGTTGTGTACAAAATGTACAACCTGAATGTTAAAAGAAAATCTGTTCCACTTTACTTACTAAATTAAAGCATTGAACATCATTCACTGATTCACTGACATGTACATATTGTACGTTCAGTTTGATTTTCACAAGCTGAATTTAGCTTGAAACCTGCATTAAACACCGTTTAACAGATTTACAAATTAAACTGGGAAGCAATTATAAAATAACCCTCTTTCAGCTCAGGTTGCTGTCATGACCTTCAGGGGTAGTCCGCTCCTTCGTTTTTTCTGAAAACGATGGCTACTCATTTGGTTTTTAGTTTGGCAAATCAAAATATTTTGGCACCGTGTAAACAGGCACAATTCGGTTACTCTTTTTTGGCATCCCAAGCAAGTTTGACTTTCAAAGGGAGTGCCACTAATAAACATTATTACATTTCCACTGGTCAGGACTTTAACAGTTTCACCAAGCTGACAACGTGCTAGCACGGCTTACCCGGGGGAAAAAAAACTAGGCAAAAGCATATGAAAACATTTAATTGAGAATGTTTTAGAAACCATAGGTTTTAGTTCAGAAAGGGGCAAGAAAGGCTACTGCAACAGGGAACCACTGTACCAGATGTCTGACTGAGGTTAATAAAGCAACATGCAATCGACATCCACTGGTTGCTTGGCAGCTGCTCTCTAGAAAAATCCAAACAGTTCTAACTAGAAGGTCAGGATTTCTCCACACATGCTATTTAAGTGGTACATTACAAGCAGGGAGAGTACAGTGATTTGTGAACACTAAATCTGTTTATTTATCAAAGTATTCTTCACGCAATATAACCTGCTGATCATTACTGCTTTGCAATGGACCCTCCTGCAGGTCACAGGAAACAGCAGCAGAAACACAGAAACGGGCCTTACCTGTATTAACTGAGGAAATGACTTCACAGAGAGGTACAGCCACATGCTCAGCTTGAACGGGAGAATATCATGCCAGTGAGGCTTGTCTGAAGATCTGTATTAAAATGCACAGGCTGTACATTCAATTAAGAAGGAAACAGTTCAGATACCAAAATGATGATAACGGTACTAGCTACATCTCTTGAGCTGATCTCTTATCCTTAATGATTATTCTAATCCAGGCATAGCGTTCCGGTCCTCCTGTCAATCAAAAACTGCCAACTTGGGACTTGAGATCTGGTTTTCCTTTGCAAGCACTTTTTGCACAGCAGAAGACCACCATGATGGGTTTGGAATGTGCAACTGATTTCATCTGGCCCTAGGTAAGGTCACCGCCTCATTAAGAGCTCTCTTGTCTTAGAACTCATAAAAGGAAGCCGTGTTACATAATCTTGGCCAATGAAGCAAAAAAAAAAAGCACTACAGTACACAAAACTGTAGTTAATGGGAGCAGATATAAGCCCCCTCAGCTACAAAATATTAAAACAAGCCTCACACTAAATTTAAAAACAATAAAGCTGCAATGTAAAGAACAGTTTAGTTCAGAAGCTGACAAGCTGAAACGCAGAAAAATGAGCTAGAAAAGGAGAAAGAAAGTGAATGCTGCTGCTTGTCCTTACTCCTGGCTTTTAGGCAGATGTACAGAAGGAACACCTGGGCCCAGTGAGTATGTCAGCTGAACGGATTAACAGCCAGAGAGGCATTCACAGGTGATGACAGCCCACTATAAAGACGGGAGCATACACAAACCGATACATAAAAATGAATGTCATTCGCAGTTCACTGAAGCATTATTCACTCTTATTGTAAGAGAAAGAGACAGACAGAATAGCCTCTGATCTCCATCCTGCATTGATCCTCTGCCTGCCCCTGCTGTGTGAACTATTTAAACCCTTTTTATTTTTTTTCTATGAATCAATATGAAAAAAATGGCAGTCTCTTTTGGAGCTAGCTGAATGTCACTTGGTCTTTCCTGCTTGTCTACAGCTTTGATGCCAGGGTGGCAGGTAGGATGGAATATATATATATACATGTTAATTTCCGAACAAGACCCATTCACCCTAGAGGGAATTTCCTGCATTTAGAAATACCACTGCCACTGCATTTAGAACCACCGTTACTGAGATTTAAACTGTGCTAATCTTACTGGTCTCTCGCTCTTTAAATAAAATCTACAGTTCAACAACATAAATACATAACCCTTTTAAAAATGCAAGCCCAGATCGGCATCGGCCACACTATAGTTTGTTCTTTGTGTGTTTCATGTGACATTGTTTATATACAAGCTTGTCAACACAGTTCAAAAGGCACACAGGGTAGGGGGGTCACATGGTCTATTCAAGTCAGCTTCCCAATGCAGAAGTAATCAATACCTGCAATTGTTCAGAACATACAGTCCAGCATGCAAACAGACCAAGACTGGTAGAAATGTTGCACAGGAATGACAGGAATGCTGTTCCATTCAGTCTGTCTAGGACGTACAATATTATGAGGCATTTACCCAGTTCAGATCCAGCACAACTGAGGCTCCAGCAATCCCACATTAACAAAGGAAGTCTTGTGTTGCCCTTGCCGAGTTGAAATCGCTATTACGTTGAAAGTTCACAAAATCTTTGAAATTTGGTGTTGATGTGACAAGGGCAGCAATATTGCCTAGTGCCACCAAACAAAGTCATGCCTTCAAGAAACACAAAGTCATGGACTTCAAGAAACATTACATGATTCCTAAGTAGGCAGAGACACTCAGTCGCAATTAGGAGATAAAAGTAACAGCAGATATTGCCAAGCAGAAGAGAGCCCTCACGTGGTATTTCTGGGTCTGATGTTCTGTTGCTGTAAAGTCAGATCAGTTCATATAAGTTCAACTGGCTCAAGGTTGACTGCAGCTGACCTCTGCGTCTTTAGTATAGTGACAGTGGGTGGATTAACCCTGACCATCTCTCGCAAAGCAAGATTAAAACCAGCGGACCCGTGTGCCTTTTCCACACGGACATGCCAGCTTTCCACAGCCCCTCTCACAAACGTACATTGCGTATGTAGCGGAGCTGGTGTGGTGACGTCAGCGCCCTCACTGCGCGTAGCAGGGTCCTCAGCTGCCTGGGCTGAGGGAGGTCTCCTTTAGCTCACGCGGTTGGTGCCCTGTTGCGTTACGCCGGAGACCCGGGTTCGCGCCCCAGGTGTGGGGGCCGGAACGGGCGGCGGGGGGCACGACCCCGCGCGGAACCGTGACTGTCACATGTACCACGGACGAGTTATCGCATGGTGTGACGTACTGCCTTTGGCAGGGAAGAGGAAAGTTAAAATGGGATGTTAGCACCATCACCACAGCTCCTCACAACATCATACCCAAAGAGCACTCAATCAGTTCTGCAGAATTCATGTGAAAATGTGTTGCATTTTTTAAAGTGTTTCAGTTTCTGTCACTATATTCTTTGTAAGAAAAGCTTTTATAAAGAGCTAGGGCTTATACTCAAGGTGACTGCTCAGCTCCTTCCCTTTATAAACAGAAAAAGGATGAGCCCAGATAGAGATAACCATCAACTAGTAAAACAAATAACTACCTTTGGATAACACAAGAGGCACAATGCCGCACATTTAACACTTTAATACATCAATGTACACGTCATTGTTTGTTAGAAGACTACCTACTTACTCACTATGTAGTTTTGTTTCTGATAGATAAGACAAATATAGGTAGCTTATGTCAACAAGAGTGATAAATTTAAGGCCATAGTCCTCAAAAACATGAAAATGACACACTAGTGGTGGCAAAATTCTGAACAGTGAAATGTTAGCGATATCAACTGCATGCTGTATGTGTTTATAATGAAGTATAGGAAAATCTCTGCAGGAAAGTTTTTAAAGAATGCCTTTTAAAAAAACTTAAAAAATTGATTTTTTTTTTACTTCCATGTCTAATAAGCAAATCATTTCAAACTGAAATGCAGCCATAGTTTATTACCCTGGACACTGTAGGATATAATATATCGCCACAAAATCTTGTATTTTATAGTTGTCACAATGACAGGGAAGGGCAAAATGTGTTGCTGCAATGGATAACTTTCCAAACACAGTTAAAAGACAAAACAGAAAACGTATAGGATTCTGTCCTGAATACCTCTTCTTAAAATAAATGTTTTCCTGCTTTTAAATTAAGAATTTAATCTAACAGGGACATCCAGTTTGACCTCCCCATCTGCAACACTAACATATCACATTCTAATTAAATTGTCATTTTAAGAAAAAAACAATTTTAGACATATGGTACTGTTGAATACTAAAACTATTCTTCAAAAAACATCCCCACCCTTGCAAGTTTCCAAATATCAGTTTAGAGGTGCTGCACTGTGGAAAATGTCCCAATTCTTTTTTTATCTCTCTGTAACTTGAACAGATCAGAATAGTTAGAAGGGGTTTCATGACTCTTTAATAGCGTGGGCTTGGGACATGCCAGAGACTTTGCCAAAAAGAAAGGAATCGTGTTGAATGCATTTTGCTGTGGGGATTTAATTATTTCACAGTAAAGCCACCAGATAATTTTGCGAAAACTAGGAGAAACAAGCATTCAAGGTCTGAAAAATCATATCCAGAACAAAAACTGAACATCAACATATGTATAAAGCAGCGAAGACGTCTTTTCTGAATGACGGAAAAGAAGTACACAACTAGAAAAAAAAGTTATCAAACAAATCAATCTTAAAAAAGTTGGGAAGATCGGAAATTCTTCAGTACCTCTCATTTTTGTCCTGGGTTCCTGACTTCGGGTCCTCTGTGATTTTGTTACTTGTCTTTTTCTTCTTCTCCCTCTTTTTTTTGCTGAGGAGTTCATCCTTGCACAAAGAATAAACCATTAATTGGGGGGGGGGGGGGGGGGGGATTGATAATCAACATCACCCCCCAGAACCATTTTTTTTTGCCCGTTGTGGTGAAGAGCGACCACTGCTGAAGCTTCATCTACACCAATTGAATCCTTCAACTCTGCATGATTCAGTGAAATCGTGTGCTTTAAACAATAATAACTGTTGCCATGGCGCCCAGTTCCACATAACAAGCACAGATGAGTGAAAGTCTGGCTCGGACAAAACGGGTGCATCTCCATAGCAATCAAGGTTCCTTGTCACCCCCTGTCATTCAAGAAACCTGCTTTCTTATTACCAGCTCAAAAAAAAAATGTCCGTTTTGTGTTGAGCAGACAAACAAGTTCTCCTCAGCACAGACTTTTAAGGCTGTTGCTCAAATCTCCATTTAAGAAGAAACCGCGGGTACAGACGGCCTTCTCCCTTTCCTAGTTTCCCGGCTCAGTTTGGAACCGCGTCAAGTTATCCAGCATCACTCCCACGTTAACTTGAAGGATTGACGATTGACCAGTCCTTCTCAAACACCAGGTTCCAAGCAGCTGCCTTCTTTTCACTGTGTTTACAATGAATCAGAACGAAAACAGCTAAGCCAAGGCGCCAAAGACAGAGCAGATGCAGCTTTCAGCTCCTGTGGTCAGCTACAGTACATACGACACCTTGATACACATCTGATACAGATCTTCTTCCCAGAGAACTTGATTCATGGAGGTCTGCACCCACCTTTTAACACTCTTAAACACAAGAAATGCTGAAGCGAAAAAACAAACTAGAGGTAATCCAACTTAAGGAGTTTCCTGCAATTGGTCACTTAGCTTAAAATCAAATCTGTGGTGCCAGCACTACTGGGCATTCTTCCTGCAGGCTGAAAGGAAACCTTTTTATTCACGATGTAGAGAGCTATCTAACTAGTACATGATAGCGGGTTTGCAGTGAGTGAAAGCAAGAACACATCGTAGGTTTGTGATCTGCAGTTGGTTTGAGGTTTTGATTTAAAGCAGGCAGTAGCCTAACTACATCATTTCCAGATACTTCTGCACTTGAGTCAAATTTGAATGTTTACATTTTTAATAAACCGCACGTTGTGTCAAATCCCAGACTTGCTGCACTCAAAAATCTCATCTGGGATGTCATTACTCAGTAGCCATTAAATATATACAGGTTTCACTCATTTGGTATAATTACATATATCTGTCATCTGCCTTTTATTTATTTTTTTACTTTACAGATTTGGTATACAAAGGATTTGCATTCAAGGTAAAAAGAAGACAAAGTTTGATCTTCTGAAGTCTAAGGTCTACAGAACCTGAATGATACGATTTTGCTGTGTGGATATCCAAGCTGGCATGGCAGAAATTATTTATACACTCATATATACATCTTCTACAGGGCACTACAATGAAGCACAAGAAGAAAGATATAAATCGTGAAATCAGAAAAGAATCTTCCTTCTTGCAAATAGAATGCTTGCAAATTTGCCCATTCCAAATTTAAATTCATAACCCTCCACTATTACTTTTTTTTTAATGCATCTCCCTATCCAAGAAAAACTACAGAAATTAGAACTGGTGTAAATTTGTTTATATCCAAATGTCTGGATATGCAAGAAAAAAAACATTATTTATGTTTATTTGTTTATGTAATATGTTTCAGAAGTAGTTTTCCACTTTGTGGTTATTTACAGTAAGTTAATTTAATCAGACCAAAAAACAGACAAACTGCAAACATCTTGAAAACACTACCTGAGTAATTATTTCACATCCTTTTATATGCATTATACTTGTCTTTATCTCTTATATTTGTTTGACGTAAGTAATCGCAATCTAAATACAGGTATTGCTGCATTTTCCTTCTTGTCAAATGGAGTAATGGGCACCTCATGAGACCCCTGTATAACAGTTCCTGTAGTATCAAGAACCTGCTTATTTGACAAAGTGTAATGATGTTTTTGTATTATAGAGCAGCTCTAAAACATTTACTCAGCTACTATCAGCCATTCCTTACTTGGAAGACTCACCAGTTTCTTCTCCAGGTATATGGACCAAATGACAGCATAGTGTCCGACCGTGAGAATGATGAAGAGCAGCAGGCCCAGCTCAGTGTTGCTCATCTTCCTCACCCGCCTGTAGTAGAACACGGGCTGTCTCCAGTCTGGAAGGCCATTAACCAGAATATCATCGTACCTAGAAAAGGGAAAAAGAAAATCCCTGCTGGGTCATCACTGGGAAATCATCCATTCACTTTCTGGGAAAACTGGCTCTGGGGTGCATGCCTGTCCTGGTGTGCGCCCTGCGATGGACTGGTGTCCCATCTAGGGTTTACCCCGCCTTGTACCTGTTGCTCCAGACATGCTCCAGCTCCCCACTACCCTGAACTGAATTAAGCCAGTAGAGTAGTTTACTGCCACATGTACACGTACACTGGAATTCTTAATCGTGCTAATCTCTCTGGACACGCATGGTACAACAGACAACATCACACAGTGTAGACAACAGGAACAATAAATATGTTGCGGAGAAACAAATATATAGTAGTGAGACTAAAAAAAAAAGAAAAAAAATGGTAGACTATGTAAAACGTGCGTAGTGCAGATGTGTATTAAGGCTGTTGAGGATGCGTACTGCAGTGAGATTGAAGCTGTTCTTGAGTCTAGTGGTCCGTGCTTTAATAATGCGGTACTGCTTGCCAGAGGGTAGGGGGGAGAACAAGTCTGTGGCCGGGATTGGTTGGGATCCTGAATGATGGATTGGCCAGTATGGAAATGTATGGATGAATAACTTAACCTAACTAGTTAGGTTAGCAAAAAACATTGCTAGTCATGTCATTGTCTTTAATAAAAGAACACTTTTCAATCGCTCATGACTGGATCAACGCAGTGAGCAATATCTTTCACTTTAATTCAATTCAAAATACTTTATTCACCCCCAGGGGGGCAATCTAAGAATATGGACCAAACAACACAGAAGACACTGTGCTGTACCATACATTTATGTATAATAATGCATACTAATATAGACGGATAAGAGTCTTAATTTCTATATTCATGGCCAGGAAAGAAGATGCCATTAAAAAATAATAAAAATAGTACAACATTGTAATAACTATGAAATGGGACAAAGATTCAGTGCATTTTAATTGACATAACATTTTTAGCGGAACTTCACATGGCAAGATTTGGAGTGATAAATGGCAAAAATAAATTGTCTTAAATATTATTCCACAGGAATACTATGCAACTGGAGATCCCTCTGCCACCACAAAATGGTGCTTTCGGTCTGATATGTGAAGATTCTACAAATGGTACCTCTACTGCCTGTGGAGTGAATTCCTTTGAGGTCTAATTTGCCAACTAAAAAAGTAATTCATTTAGGATGGAGAACTGAAAAGTCTTCTTTACCCATAAGAGTTGTGGGTGACTGGAGCAGGCTTCAAAACCAGTTGACTGAGGCTCAAACTCTGAACACTTTTTAAAAAATGACTGGAAGAAAATACAAATCGAAACCTAGTAGCTAAGTTTCAACTAACCCATCAAACACCACATACAAAAGGATTTCTCTTTTGTGTCCCTTATTTTTAAACAAATCTTAACTGCTTCATAGTTTTAATTAACAGTAACAAAACTATGCAGCGGCTTATTGCACATCGATTCCTGATTTTAGCAGTTGAGAAGCGATCCCCAACCCTGGTTCTATAGTAATTAACAGAATAATACTAACCTAGTTCAAAATTGCCATTAAACCTAAAGATCCTGTCCTAAATTGATTTTTCACATCCCATTTAAAATGGTATTAAATTCCAGGCAGTAACATCTTCTGTATTAAAAGCTCTAAATAGTACACGGTATTTTCTAAGTAATGTCTGATGATCTGCACAACAATCTCCAAGGAACTGGAGCCGGAATCGATGCTGTATTGATTTTCCTATCAATGAACATTATTGCGGATCTCATGGCTGATCATGAGGAGTTCAGCCATCTTCCGCTGTGGAAGGACATAACACATAGTGCCTGTCACCTGGAGGAGTGCTACCCCCTTTCTCCTTCTGAAGGAGGTGGTGGAGATGGAGCGTTTTGCATCTTCTCATCACTCTTTGAAAACGTATGTACAGCGTGGTGGTGAGGATTTCGATCACCCACAAGATAATCTTGCTCCATAGATCCCACACTCCTCAAGGTTACTCCTTATTGCTAATTCATTTTTACTGACATGATAGAAATCAGAGCTTTAATGGAGGCCCAGCCCCCTGCACTAAGGTTCTTATTTTTTCTTGGAATTGACGTCAAAGGACCCCATTTTGGAAGAACGGGTCACATAGCAATGCAGGGACAGGAGATACCTCTGACACAAAAATATGGTGATTTCTGTCTGATGGGTTAAGATTCTACAAACGGGATCTCCGCTGCTTGTGGTTGGACACATCAAAAGAATTTTTGTGTGTGTGTGTGGGGGGGGGGTCGAACATGCCCTGGCTTGAGATTGAGGTCTACCTGGGGGAGATCACTCAAAGATCCAGCTTCTGACCGAGCGTGATGCCATGAAGAATACTGTCAGTGCATCCGAAACTTCTTTTGAGCCCTGTATGGTAGTGCTTTCCTCAAACTTCCACACGCACTCCATAAACACACACAACACACCAAAAGGGTGCACAGAGCAAGAACAATGAATCGGCTTGTCATTTTTAAGACTCCAAAGCTCAAATATGTTTTTTTCACCAGAAACTGAAGAGAGCTACTCTGCTTCAGGCACTTCACAGAATCCCTCACAAAACTGAGTCAAGAATCCTGCTATCTTCAGCTAGCTTGTCGTCCTGTCTTACTCTCACTCCCCATGTGTAATCTAAAATAATTTATATTGTCTACACCTCGTGAAATGGCTCTGTACAGGCAGAGGTGAGGGAGGCACCTAAGGCAGGGGGCCACGTTGGACATACGAGATTTCCAGTGGTGAGCACAAATGAGAAACACTAGGTACAAGACAGAAATCGCAGTTACAGAGCATCATTTTCTTAATTCATTTTTTTTAAGTATATATTTTGATGCAGGGTATCCATACAGGTATTTTTCAAATCAAGAATTAAACAGTTAACTGAGGTCCTTTCTCCCTCATGCATAGCTGCAATCTGAACTCTTTTTTTTTCCCCCTCACTGTCGTACACACTCACTGAGCGCTGCATCACACGCAATGCCAAACGTGTTTTTGTTTTATCTTCCTTTAAAACAACAGAGGCCTAATCCTCTATTAAAGCCAAAGAAATATTGGGCATTATATTGAACTCTGCGCTAACCACATCAGGATTGCAGCTTGTAAGCTCCAGCAGAAAATAAACGTCACCATTAATCCATACATTGTTAAAAATGGCCTACACTATTACATTAGTACTAATGAATTTCTACCAACCTTCGAATATGAACTTTTTTTTGCATTTGTTTCTCAAAAAAAATTCAGATTTTATTTTCACAAATTTTACAATGTTATTAATGGTATACATGTTAGTTCTGCCACCATAATTTTCATTTGTCAGCCCTTGACACCCAACAGATATGCCTGAGGGGAATGTAGGGAGACTGACTTTAATTAACATACAAGGTAATTAAAGGAAAGCTTAGTTTTGGCAGAGTGAAAACTGGACAGGCATGGCACCACATTGAATCAGAATGGCATATGCCTGCAAAACTGGAACACAACAAGTATGGTTAAAAATGAATGCTGGAGTGGTCACTTAGGGGAAAAAAAAGACTTGTTTTGAAAAGCCAAAACCTTTGCTGAGTGCTTTAAATCTTCATTATAAAGTAAAAAGTCACTGGAAGTGCTTCACAGATTTTGACAATTTTAAAATGAAAAGAATTGTAAGCTCTGTGAACAGTACTGAAAAAAAATTCACATTACAATTTCATTTAATTATTTAGGGCAGGAGATAAAATTTGCAGTTGAAGTTGTCTTTTCAAATATACTGTTAATTGTCTGCAGCAAGATTAGTATCATACTATTTTCACTAAATATGCTTTAATTAAAAACAAAATATTAAACATTTTATAAATACTGAAATCATATTTTTGATTTTCTTCACTAAAACATGAAATGAATCACTCCAGAATAAAAATGCTTTTAGCTTTCTAAATTAGCAGAATTTAAAAACAGATTTTTTTATTGCTAAAGTATGTTAATAAAAAATCAACAAAAAGTGCTATTAAAAAATAGAAGAATTTTTAGTGTTTATTGCAATTTCTGCATTGATTCCTGTTCATATCCAGATTTGTATGTTAAGTAAACTAATGATTTTGGAATTTTAGAATCTAAATACAAACAGGACTTGCTGAAGTCAAATTTGTCAGTGAACATCTTTTTAATCTAAAAAAACTACGAACAACCACATCGGAGCTTAGCCAAATAGGAATAAAACTGAATCCAAAATTAAGTCTATCTTGCTATTAAAGCAAAATATTTTCATACACCCAATTAGAGCAGAATAAATATTTTTAATTACAACAGAATATTAATTTTACATTTTACTTGCTTAGATAGTTTTTAAAATTAGGACTTTTTTTTCTCCAAAAAGTCTCGTTTAAAAAGACACTTTGCCATTAATATACAGTATGTCACAGTCCAGTACATGGTACATCCCATATGATGTAATAAACAAAGGGCAAATTCAAATCGATCAATCAGGCTACTCCAAATTTAATGAAAAGATCCGAGTTCAGAGGCTGTCCATATTCAACTCAAGAGCCATTAATGGACCAACCTACTACAGACAAGAAGACCATGTTCGCTTGCATCTCAAGTCTCACTCACACACACACACACACCTCCTGTTGATAAATGGAGAAATCAACTGACCTCTGCCTTCTTTCTTCATCTTTCAGGACTTCATAGATTGCTACTAGCTGAAAGGGAGAAAAAATGCACATGACAAATTCAACAGCAATAAAAGCCTTAGTTCAAAATGAATACTGTCCCAGAAAATTAAAATTCCTCCAGACTTTTTGCAGGGAATCATTTCCAACAATTTCTCACTTCTCTCTAGATTGTAGATCTCAAATGCTTTCCCAGCAAATTCCCTGCACTCCTTAATTTTACTCAGTTAAATAAGTTTAATTGATGATTTTTGCTTTGTAACAGGTAAATTCATTTAATGTTGATCACACCTTAAATGTGCACTTGCAATCAGTATATTAATAAACAGAAACAGCAAGCATACAACTGTGTAACATTTTACTTAGTTGCTAATGAAAAATCTCAACATAACTGCACAATTCAGTTCTCATTAGAAAGAACTGGTAAATTGGTAAAATGCTGCACAGTAAAAAATAACCCTGAAATTACATTTACACTTTCAGCAGAAATAACTTTTTTTTAAAAGGCAGTTAAACTATTACACAGGTAGTCCCATAGATTAAAACAATTTCACAAATTATCACTAACTGAATTCTTTGAACTGAAATGTCAGGGAGAAATTCCAGCAATGAAAAAGGATATTTATTATATATTTAGCAGGCTGGCATGTCCTAAGTTTGGGAAACATCACCATGTTAACATATTTATCAGTTTTTAACTAAGACACGTGAAATCAGCGTAGACTGGTGCTTACAGAACAAATCACTTAAATCACCAGAGATTTTTTTTGCTTTTCAATACTTTGATGCTAATATTTAAAAAAGCATATTTTACTTCCATTTTCACTCTTTCCCCCTACAAAAACTAAAACTAAAATTGTTTTTCAGTGCCCAGTATAATATTTCTGTGACATACAATACTTAATAAAAAACAACTTATTTAGCAACAGTAAGAAAGCTGTTAACTCTAGTAAACTTTTATTAAAGTGGTGCTCCTGTCTATGATTGCAATATTAACTAAACCATAGCTGCTTCAGGGCAAATCATCCTGAATGTAAAATTTCTATCGCATGTAAATACATTTTTGGGGAAAATCCAGTGTTTTCTGTCATTTTCAAAAATGACAAGCTAGCTGTTAGACAACCACTGAAATAATTTAAATATTTATGATGTCACACTCAAACAATGAAGCATCACATACTTTAAAGAAGAATTATATTGACTTAACCTGATTGAAAACGCAGGAACACCCACAAAACATGGTCCAGACCAGCCAGTTTCAAAGGAAAAACTTGTTTTTTTTTTAACGGAAGTAGGTTATGAAGTTAATCTGGATGCCTGTCAGTTTGTCTACTTGAAAACTTAATTCACCTGACTTAAAAAGCCAGAAAATCCAGAAACATATATCATCTCTTCTGCCATTAAAACATACCTTCCACCACTCAAAAAGCCAAAAGGCTTCAAAACAATACTGAAATAATGCCGCAAAGAAGAAAAAAAAGGATTACTTGTGTGAATTGAGTTTCTGCATTTTCATCTTTGTTCTTATCTGGGTGCAGGATCAGTGATAGCTTGCGATAGGCCTTCTTGATGTCTGCTGGCGAAGCATCCTGCGAAAAAAAAAATAAAGCAAAGCACTGTCAGTCTAGTGATATCCCACTGGCTCGGTCTGTCCAGGGGATAGCCCCCTAGAATAGACTCAAACAAAAGCCGTGGTCAGAAAAAGATACTCTTTGACCAGGAGACCATATCTCTTAAATTATACTGACATTCTGAAATCAGGTAGTACTTTTCTAAACCAATCTACACAGCATATAAACTATGACAATGTCAACAGAACACTCTGTTCCACAATTAATTCTGAACGATTTTATTTTAATTACCCAGAGCTAACCAAAATTGATTAAGGATGTCTTGAAAACATTTTTTTGAGGGATGGGGGGGAGGAATTGCATGGTAATTTACACTGAGATCCGTTTCAGGCAAGATGTTGAGACAGTAAGTGTCACTTCTATAATGTCTGATAGAGTGTCCATAGTTACCACCAGATTCTCATCAATATCAGACAGATTTTATAGGACAAATCTTAGCGCAGTGAACTGTTTTCATAAAAATATCAGAACAAAAACACATTTTTATCAAACAGATTAAATGAAGTGGCTTCAGACGAAAAAGAATGTGACGTCAAGATGATATTCTAATGTATCATTAACTTATATAAACAAGTTGCACTTTCCTGCAAACAAAAGAAATCCTTAAAATAACAACTAAATTGCTTTGCTTATGTGCAAAAACGAAAATGACTACGGGGAAACTTGTGGAATTTTTTGCCACCTTTGGTAATTAAAACAGCTTTGCAAGCTTTTTCACAGTCACAGTTTAAAATGTGAAAAAAATGGGGCGTGATATTTTTCACATGTAAAAAGTGAAAAACATTTCTTAATGCTTTTGCGAAAGTCAGGGTGCTCATAGCAAAAACAGCATACATTAAAAATACATTTCTAAAATATTTAAAAGTGTCTGTAGCCCTCAATGGCAAAGGAACAATAATAATAGTTACTGCTTTCATAATTACCAAACACAGAGGTCTTTTATAAGAACTTTCAGCAAAAGCAATTTAAAGCAATTGAAAACCATTGAAATTAGCATCCTGTCTTTTTACTGTACAGAGAATAACAAAATCTAAAAATGTTTAAATTAAGAGTTCAGTAAGTAGCCCCTTTTATTGGTAGAATTTAATAATAATTGCTAGTATTTAAAACAAATTCTAAAAATACACTTGTACATAAATGCAAGACAACACTGGGTATAAAAAAAAAGATTTAGGAAACTTAAAATGCTGCAACATCCTATTCATTTAAAATCAATAAACAATCATGCAGAAATCACACCTCCTTTATGTCTCAAAGCACATGGATCTTTCTGCAGTGCTCCAACATGTAAAAACTACATCTTTTTAGAGTGTACAATTGAAGGACAGTGGCACTGAAGACAGGTTCACAACCGGTAAATTATATATAAGGATGCTGACAAAGATGTCCAAAAAGTGCTCATGTTCGCAGGTTCATATGGATTAGGTTTGCCTTGCATATTAATGTAACATTTTTTTAATTATATGGCCATAATTTCTAGACGTTCATATTGACACATTTCAGTTTTATATGAAAGACATTCATTTGGCTTCATTTAGTTTATCTTTAAAGTACCAGTCTGCACAGTCCCATTTTTAGCCTGCGTTTTTTTTCTGCAAAGAAAACTGGCAGGGAAAAAAATCACATACTGTTCATATGAAATCTCATTCTTGTAAAATGTATTTAACTAGTAGTCTTCAAGAAATGGATGAGTTTATTTTTAAGATTTCATGTGTTCTATTTCCACACTATTTCCAGATTTTACTAAATAGGTGAAATAAAATAGGTGAATGCAAATTAATCAATATTACATTGTACAGCACTGTCAAAACACTAGAATTACAAGCCCCGCACATACTTTTTTAATCAGACTTTTACATTGTACAGGGATAGAGTAAGAGATGCCAAGAGAAAGTGATATAGACAATACAATATTTCTTTTGGTCATATAAAATTAGTCTCAACTGATATATGAATTAAGCATGAATTAATGACTGAGGCAAAAGATTGTTCATTGTATCACATTATTCACTAACAAATAGTGTGATATAGAATCTCATGTTCCCTTAATTTTGAATATTTACTTGTGTTGCATCTTGTACAGTTTAAAATTCAATGATATGTTAAGTTAGAGAAAATCCCTGCCTGGCTTAGCGTAAACAGATTTCATTTTATTTTTCGTAACACTAGAAATTGCCTCAAGAATCAGAGGTCATGCTCCTGTTATGTCTAAAAGCAAATTCTGGAGGTAGCTGGCCCCAGCAACTCGGCAACCTTATTAAACCATTAAAAAAAAACCAACTGTCCCAGAAGAAGCCATTGCTCTTTATTTTTATCTGAATCTTCAGCCTTGGAAAGAGAAGAGTGCAAAGCTCTCATGAAAAAGTATTAGCTCATCCCAAGGTAGAACAGAGTCAACAGGCATTTGAATATCAGCTCACTTTAACAAGAGAACATTACCAAATTTCTTGCAAAGTTCTCAAGTAACCCAAACGCTTTGGATACTACAGTATAGGTGGACGCCACAAGTACTTTATAGCAATGGCTAAAACTGTGAATAACTTAAAAAAATAAAAGAATCTCCTTCTCTACAGAGAAGCAATGATTTGCAATGCACTACAAATTAATTCAATTTTTTTAAAGACTCATTTCTTTCAATAAGGGGCTCTATTTTATTTCAACATGGCAAATATTACCAACAGATTAGCCCAGTGCTAAATATTCAGCAAGACTAAAAGCAATGGTTTAGTAACACTTACACTTCAGCTCTAAGCTTAACTGTTCTTTTGCCAGCATACAGATTAAATTACACCCAAATTCAGGGCACAAAGGCTTTAAGTACTGTTTTCTGACTAAATAAGAATGACATCTGAAAGCGTCCTGCTATTCCCTGCAATATTTTAAATGGAACAACACAGGAAAAAAAAAAGTTTTAGCCCTCAGCAGGAAACATAATTCTTCTAATGAATGAATTGGATGAATTTGAATGAACTGGAAAAACAATTCTAATGAAAGTAGCCACCTGTGTATTATTTTTTATATTTGACAAAGAAATTCAAATCTAATGAATAGTACAGTTTTCAGCACTGATAGCATTAATCCAGCTATATTGTTCTCTTCTTTGTATCTCATACCATATTCTGTCCTCAGTTAAAATTACTGTTTCGATAAACAAGTTTATTATTTATCCTGACCAACAGAGACTTTTTAAGAGAAATGTTTGTTTTGACACTTATAATGGGTTAAATTATTTGATGTTTTGTAAATAATTTATCATCTTACTAGTTAAAAACATTATTTCACATTGGATTTGAGGGATATGAATAACTTTTATTATCCATTTTGCACACATCAAACATATCTAAATTTTAGTTCTACATCAAGAATTATGTACTCAAAGCATTTTAAAATTATTTTCTGAATTACAATAAGCAGTACATTTAAGATACTAAAACAAGGTGATAATGTTTAATTCATTACTTTAAAAAGGCACACAACTACACAATCTGAGTTAATGCAGATTCATATTTCATATATAATGTGCACATGTAACTGCTTTGTCAGGCATGGTATAACTATATCCTCAATTGTATGGTTCTGCCACTATGAAGGCCGATGAAAGCAGGCAACCAGGGCAAACCACAATTTACACTACAAAGGCGGGACAGACTAACAGATACAGACAATCTATTTCAAATAACCTAAAGGCAAAGTGGATTTCTAAAACACAGGTTTTTAAAACACCTCTTATGCGGTAGTGTGCCCTAGAAATCTGGCAAATTAGCACTTTTTCCACCACGCCAATTAAATTTTGCTTTTATGACCTGACAAAACACTGTAACAGTGAAGGGGTCTGGTTAGAAATTACAAACTTATTATTCTGTCGTATATAATACGGTACAATTACGTTCTTCTTTTAAATATGTGGAATGCAGGAGACACATGATCTTTTTGCTTATTAAAGGTCAGAAACATTGCTTCAGAAAGCCATTTCTAACATAATGGGCAAAGGTTCTTTTTGTTTTAAACGTTTCTAAAATTTGCAATCATTTTTCTACCACTCATTGCTCACGAAGGCTACTGTCACAGCGGATGGCCACAGGACAGCTGTACAATTAAACTCAAGAAACTGCTTTGCAGGAGGTTTCAGGAAACAACATTAGCCTGTGGGATTTAACATAGGATGGATGAGACTCAGGAATTGGGAACTAAGAAGGGAAATCACAGAATCCAGATGCGGGTTATTTAGTTGCATTGAACTGGATTCATTGTGCTTTTCAGTTACCTAAGGGCAGGTAGAAATAAATATCTGTAAGCAAGATGTCTTACCGAGATCCTGTAGGTTTTCCTCCACTTCACAGCAACACAAGCTGTCCTTCACCACAGCCTGCTCAGCTGACCTACAAAGCCACTGACTCAATTTCTGACGTGCCACGGAGAGACCAGCAGAAACAATACAGAGAAGCAAAGTGCTTTCCATTTTACTCTTAGACAAGATTCAGTATACTACAGTATACTTCTGCTGACAGTAGTAACAGAGTATATGAATTCCAAATAAGAAACTCTTACTGCTCTTCTGCTTTTGGGAATCTGTGGTACCCCTGAGTTTGTACATGCCCTGATACATCCAGAGACATTACAAAACCCAGGTTCATTTCTGCTCATCTGACCACATTTTAGATGGCAGAGGCAACAGATTTAAAACGGAGAGTCTGCTAAAAGAAATAAACATCCTGCTACACTTAAACATCCTTATCTAGAAGCACACAAAGAACTCCTGTACACCTAGTGCAATGGAACAAGTATTCTCTTTTTGCAAAGTAGCATTACTGCATATTTTTTAAACATTACTTCATTTTCTTACCTAGCAATCTTTATGCTGTTTTTGTGTGTCAACACAGGATATATTATTGCAGAGCACTAGTTCCTCAGAACTGACTGGGGGCGGGGGGGTTGTCTTTAGTTACAGGATTAGTACA